TTCTCCAGAGGTGGTATCCACTCTTTCAGGACCACCACAATGGGTGAGATACCGTTGGTCATGTTAATTTGGACGTCTAGTTTCTGCCACACTAGATGGCAGCACCGAGACTCTATTTGGATGCTAAAGTGCACTAGGAATTTAATTTTGCCGGAAATGCCAAGAGCCAATGAGGCACTCCAGGGATCTTTTACATGCCGCATAATCATACGACATGGCCGCTGAGGATTTTCTGCATCCCGAAAATCCGGTGTCTGGGCCGGGGATCGAACCCGCAGGCTTGGGTTCAGAAGGCCGACGACAAACCAACTGCAGTAATTAGGTGGCAGGAGAAAGTAACTTGATAGTGGAAGATTTCAAGCATCATAAATTGCCTTGAGCAACAGCATTATGCCACCAGAGGATACTGATTACAGTTAATCTTTATTTTGATGGGACAAACGACTAAAGACGTTTTTTTTCTCATTAATCTGATAGCGTAATCTACCAAGAAGGACAACAAATAATAATACATAAATAAATAACAAACTTTGTGATTATTTAAGCTTTATTATTTGTGTCTGTATTTGTCTTACAGTTTAATGCATCGTTTTGGAGTGTTGTTCGAAATTATTTATTGATGCTTACTCTTTCACCTCATACGAAGAACGGGTATTCAGCTAGAGCTTCATTTTTCCACTTTACTATGTGCCACCCTTACCTCCTACACGTAATACGTTACAGCTTAACACAAATTTGTCCAAAATGTTTATTGTGGCGAAATTGTTATTAAAATATATATATATTTAAATCGAAACACGTTAACTAGCTTAAATATGCAATTGAAAAATAAACATCATCATATTTAGCATGAGTGCTCAGGTTGGTCCAAGATCTTCCGTTGAAGATTCCTCCAGGATAATCTATTTCTTTGTCCTGTACACGAAGGATTACTTCAGTTTTTTTTACACACGCTATTATAGAAAAATTTACCCGAAAATAACTTTAAAATACTAACTTAGTATAAAGAAATTACTGCCAAACCTCTGTTTTTATATACTTATTATTGATGCAGGAAGCATATAATTGTTTGTATATCTACTTTAATCTATGCTTTATTTGTCCCGCAAGTTTCGCAAGTGCGACGTGCTTCCTTCTTGGTGTACCAGTAGTATACATTTCGCTTTTTTAAAAAAAGTTAAAAAACGAATTACCCTAAAGCGCAAATAAGAGGAGGTACCTTAGGGCGCACTTTTTGTCTCTTCTCGACAATCGAAGTCTCTTCGTTAAAAAGCGAGCTTCTACTCTATAAAAACTCAACCTCTCAAATCCTCATGGGGTATTCAAATCTTTGTATTCTATCCGAATAAAGTGTATATAACTCCTCCCTTGATTTTGAATGCTACCTGCATTCATTAACAGGCAAAATTGAACGTAAGATTCTAGACATTCCAAAATGGACATCAATCCCACTACTGCATCAAGAGGTGGAATACTCTAACCTTCATAATCACAGCGACGATTATCTTTACGATTTTCTTGAGGTTTTACATTTTGAAATCTTTTTATCGATATATGTGACAGCTTAGCAAACCTTAGAGTCCCTCTTACCTTCCGTACGCCTCGGGCTCCTCCAGAACTGCACACAAGTGTTATGCTTCATCTCTAAAACTTCTTTTAAGACATGCATCGTCCTCCAGTTACGATCATTACTACTTTAGTCACAATTTGAGTCACAGAGGTAATTTTACGCAGACCGCAGACTCTTCTCGATCTGAGAAGAATTGAGTAGTTAGAATTGTGGTTCGCAATTTGTTGGAATTGCGATCTCAGATGAGGAATTATACTTACTGTAGGGGATTTATTACTCTCTACGGCGATCGGAGGTTCATGAATTGTATGCAGTAAGAATGATGGAAAATAGCTGTTTACGAAATGGCACGGTTACTCGTCTTATTATTTTTTCAGATTTCCATTTCCAATTATTTTTTGATTTTTGCCAAACTTTTTTGCTTTGATCTGTCTTTTACTAACAGCTATCGATGTGCCACGATCGAAACTATTGATAATATCATTCTCCAAAACCCTATTTATGGATCATAATGTGTTATTAGAGTTGTCTCAATACTGTGATCAAAACCACGGTGCTATGCTTCGTAAAGACCCGCGTTGTTTTTGCATGCATAAATCAGGTATAAGGATAGGGGCGGACTAAGGCCTAGACAACCTAGGCACGTGCCTAGGGCCCGTAATTTTTGGGACCCGAAAATTTGGTTTTTAATTTTTAAATTTTCATAATTAATTTCTATTTTATTTAACAGAAAAACGTGATATTCATAATTGTTGCTGAAATGTATCCAAATTATGCCGAATTTGATTTATAAAGTCGACAAGTGTGGACGAGTGTTCCCGTGCTTATGCATCCACGCCCGAGAGTGTCGATGTGTGTAAATACGATCGAGCCTTTACTATGCACGTGTTTAAAAAGTTAAACGCAGCTATTTAAAATCAATGTCTCCTGAACGTATTGCATCTTATATGAGTTGTGATTGAAAATTGTGCAATTATGACTTAAATACCTAGACTTGATTGCGAATAGATTGTTTTGGATTCATAGTTAATAGTTTCTGGAATTCCTAAAATAAAAATGTAAGTTTTTATAAAAATATTACGTTATTTAATAAAAATAATATATAATATAAAATACCACAAATTGTGATTTTGTTTGTGATTGTGATATTGAGTAAAAATAAATTTAATTGAAGATCATTTCTTCTTTCTTTTTAATATGTGGTCTTTAAAATGAGTTCCTATAAACATTTAAGCGGAAGTGAAGAAAGAAAACGAAAAGCAGATCGAGATAAAGTGGCAAAACAAATGAAAGGATCGTAGGACAAATTTTTAACAGTAGATGGAGAACAATTACAACAATCGTCATCCTTTTCACAAATTTCACCTGCTCAAGCTTTAGGAACATCATTTGTGTCCGAAACTATTCTGCAAAAGGACCAGCAGGAAAAACCAAGCAATTCCATTTATGAAGATGAAACAAAAGGAGAAAATATAAATTTAAAATCATCTCAAAGTAATGATGAAACTAAGAGTTTTATAAACGATATTGCATTATGGTCAGAATATTTAACAGACGCCATGCGGGAGTATTATATAAAAAATCCACCAAAATCAATAAATGGATCGTTAGAATCATCTTCTATTCGATGCAACGAAGGGTCAAAACTAATCATAAGAAAATTAACTATTGCTTCCTTCTTCAGAACAATTAATAGCGGGGAAAATGTAAAAAGAGATTGGTTGGCTTATACTGAAACCAACAACTTATTGTACTGGAACGTCTGTAAATTATTTTCCAAGCAAACAACGCTAACGACAAAAGGGACGAATGATTGGAAAAATGTACATAAAAANTTTTCAATTTTTTTCTTAATTATTATTCTCCACTACTAAAACGTGGTTTTTAAAAATATTACTTTTTATTAATTATTATAACAAGATCTAAAATTACCGGACGCATTGACACTGAATTGGAAAAACAAATTATAAGTGAAAAAAATATTGGAGGGAAGTACTTAAACGTGTGGTAGCAAAAATCAAATTTATTTCTTCATACTTTTTAGCGCTTCGTGGGAAAATGAAGTGTTTTTTAGTGAAAATAATGGTAATTATATAGGCGCTTAGGAATATTTATCTGAGATTGATCCATTTATGCGGGAACAGATGAAAAAACATGCAAACTGCGGGACCGATACTATAAACTATTTGTCGTCTACAATATGTGATGAATTTATTTCTATTATATCGGAAGATTTACAACTTACAATAGTGAAGGAAATAAAGGAAGCCAAATTTTACTCTCTAATTATTGATTCAACACCTGATATATTTCATGTAAATCAGCTGACTGTCATTATTCGCTATGTTCTTCCAAGAAGTATAAAAGAAAGATTTTTGGGATTTCTACCTATATTTTCTCATACTGGTGAAAATTTGGAGAAAGTTATTTTGGAATTTTTAAATAATATAGATTTAGACATCACTAGCTGTCGGGGTCAGAGTTATGATAATGCGTTTAATATGCCAGGTAAATATAAGGGACTCCAGTCCAAAATAAAACATATTTTTCTGCCCATTTTACACCGTGCGCAAATTATTCATTAAATTTAATTAGAAACGCTGCTGCTGAAAGTTGCAAGGAAATTACCACTTTTTCAATATCGTTCAGGAATTGTACGTATTTTTTTCAAGTTCTACACATAGGTGGAATGTATTACAAACATTTTGTAAGAGCAAACACTTGAGTATTAAACCTATTTGTGACACCAGGTGGTCTACTCGTTCCGATGCTGTGAAATCCTTAAAGGAAAATTATGAAGAAATTAAAAATTGTTTCCGTCAATTTTCCTCAGACAAAGAAGAAAAACCATTAACAAGGTCCGAAGCTGCCGATTTACATAAAAAACTTGATGCATTTGAGTGTTACTTACTATATGGGAAAAGATTTTAGAGAGAATAGATGCTTCAAACCCCTAAATACAGCAGTTTTAATATATAATTCATTGACAGAATTCATACAAACTGTTAGAGATGATTTTGACAATTTAGAAAAAGAAGCAGAAAAAGTTAAAGATATTGCATATACTAATGATAAAAAAACGGCAGAAAATACGAAAACTATTTCATGATGAAATTCCAAAGCATGAAGTAAGATTCCGTGGCAAAGAACATTTTGAAGTTAATATTTTCTTGTTGTATGCGATTTTTTAATTAGCAACATTTAAAAAAAACGATCTCAGGGATATGAAACTATTAACAATAAATTCAAAACAATTTTTCATGATAGTGATGCTAGTGACTCTTCAATAGAGGGATTAAAATGTTATGAACAAGATTTAAACCTAGCAGAAGTGAAAAATGAAGTANCATACAAACTGTTAGAGATGATTTTGACAATTTAGAAAAAGAAGCAGAAAAAGTTAAAGATATTGCATATACTAATGATAAAAAACGGCAGAAAATACGAAAACTATTTCATGATGAAATTCCAGAGCATGAAGTAAGATTCCGTGGCAAAGAACATTTTAAAGTTAATATTTTCTTGTTGTATGCGATTTTTTAATTAGCAACATTTAAAAAAACGATCTCAGGGATATGAAACTATTAACAATAAATTCAAAACAATTTTTCATGATAGTGATGCTAGTGACTCTTCAATAGAGGGATTAAAATGTTATGAACAAGATTTAAACCTAGCAGAAGTGAAAAATGAAGTATTACAATTTAAGACTCTTATAAGTAAAGAAAATATTATTTCGTCTGTATCCATGTGGTCATGTATTCAGGAAAATAATATTATTGCGACATTCCCTAATTTGAACATAATTCTGAGAATTTATTTAACCCTTCCAATAAGCAATGCAAGCGGTGAAAGATCATTCTCTGTAATGGCTGGAATAAAAAGAATTTAAGATCCTCATTAGGTCAACAGAAATTAAATAGTTTATCATTATATAGAAAAAGAGTTATTAAGTAACTCTATTAATTATGACTAACTAATTGGCGAGTTTGCAGAACTAAAAGTGAGAAAAAAGACAATATAACTAATCAATCTGGGTATATTTGTTTAAGTATTATTGTTTGTTTTAATAAATTATGTTTGTTTGTTTTAATAAATTATGTTTATGTTTGTTTGTTTTAATAAATTATGTTTATTTAATAATTTATTTTTGTATATTATTTTTTCCCTTTTTCTTCTTGGAATCCGATAATTAAATAGTTGTTGTTGTTGTTACTTTACGTCGCACTAGAGCTGCATTGGCGACGGTCTGGGAAGCATCCCGGAGGATGATCCGAAGACATGCCATCACAATTTTGATCCTCTGCGGAAGGGATGGCACCCCCGTTTCGGTAGCCCGACGACCTGCGCGCGAAGTCGAGCACTTTACGGTAGCACAGTTTAACGAGGACCAATACCGCAAACCCTCGGTCCCTACGCAGGTTTGATCCAAGTGGTCACCCACCCGCACACTGACCGTAGCCAGTGATGCTTGACTTCGGTGATCTGCTGTCTTAACGATCAGTCCACTGCGGGACCGATAATTAAATAGAACTACATACTAATATGCTTTAAAACCAAACTACCAAACGCTAAGTATGTGTCATGACTGCCCGGAATTACAATGTTGCTTAAAGCCCGCTTTAGCTTTAGTCCGCCACTGTATAAGGAACATTAACGCTGCGTTTGATGCACTTTCGATATCCGTCGAGAACGAATGAGGACCCAGTTGGTGAAAAATATTTTCCGAAAAAATCACTATGTGGCGATTGGAAGCTCATGACCCGTATTCAATGAGAATGGCCCTTATTACTGAGAGTGCTCCTTAAAAGTGATGTAGCCTCGTGGCTGTGTTCTGTTGTTAGGAAAAGCAGCCTTGAAGCAACTAGTAGTTTTGGTTGAAGTCGAAGTGTGTTACTTAAAGTCTTATCTTATTTAATCTTTTAATTCTATGAGAGCTTTAAGCACATAATCATGTAGCATAAGTTCCGAAACGGAACAGACCATTCCGAATCCGAACAGAGATCCTGAGCACACAAGGCCGAAAATTTATGTAATTGCAATAACCAATAACCGAACAGAGTAAATGTGAGAAATTCGTATTTTGCTAGCAAATTTAGAGCCGAGTTTTAAAAAACCTAAGCCAGGTAATATTTGTCTCAGAAAACTTACTTGTTTAGAAGTGTTTTATTTATGTTGAAAAAAAGTGTGTTATATTTACGTCTTTTCTACTTAATGTCTGTACGTACAACCAGCTGAGCAAATGCGCTAATTTTCTCAGAAATTTTACACTGATATATTCATTGTAAGAAATATACAATCAATACATTGTGTTTCGAGTATGGCTCAGTTACTAATTTTATTTTTACTATATTTTCCTCTTGTTTTGGTACCTTTTTTAAAATCTCTTTATGTTGACTGCAAAATATCTACAGAACTGCAAATTTTAACAGCTTTTAGCTTGATATTTCCCCCGCTTTTGCGATGTGGTGACTAGGACTGGGCGGTGTAACAAAGTATATCGTCTGTTAGACATCCTGATGTATTTCGAAAATTGTTTCTTTTGAGTTGTTTTCTGTTGATTATCTGAAATCTTAAATAAATGAAAGAAGTTACAAAAAGAAATGTTAATTCTAAAAAAATACTTATATAAAAATACCATAGCTAATATAAATAGCAAGGCTTAATGTTTTAAATTAAAATAATAAAGATGTATTGACTTAAGACTGATGTCTAAAAGTAAAAACAAGCACAAGCTTTGTTTTAATTTATTCAAATTAGAAGTAAATTAAGATGTATTCATTTAAAAATAATAATGAAATACTAAAAAAAAAAAAAAATTTACTTGCATGTAGTATTAAAAGTAATAGTAAAATGAACGTAAAATGCAAACCAAAGAACTTTTCACATAAATAAAACATATTTTAAACTATTTGTTGAAGTAAAACATACTTTTGAAACATTGTTAGACATTTTATTTTTATATTTAAAGTAATAAAATTGTGTTGACTAATGATGGTCAAATTCAATTTGTAAATAACATAGCAATAAGTGTTAGTTTTGTTTCATTCATTTATTATTATTCTCCATAGTGTCGAATTAGATTTATTGGTTTAAAAATGATGCTGAATCAGGGTTGGGGTTTTGGGCATCCTGAACTAGCTTTGGACAGGTGAATGTAAAAATAACTTTGGTAAAAGGTAAAAATTCTATAGGTGTAACCATTGTATACATAATAATTACATGTATCAATAAATATTTGATATTTTTTATACAATTTACCTTAACTTATTAAAGGAAAATATTATAATCTATATTATATAAAACGCTAATATGTATGTATCAATAAAACCGATGATATTTCTTTTCTCGCGTTGGCAACAGTTTTCATTTTAATTGATGGGCTTCCACGTAAGAGCACATAGTGAGCATCATATGGCTAATCTATATTATATAAAACGTTAATAAGTTTTAATCGATAGGCTTCGGCGCGCAAGAGCACATAGTGAGAATCATATGTCTAATCGGGTGAATTCTCATCGAATTATCAAAAAATTTCTCACAAAATTATCTTCATTGAAGCCGATGCTTTACATCTGGCGTTCAGTACTATTTCATATTGTTTTTAAACACATGGTTTTAACCCTCTGGTGGGAAAGACTTTAAAACGAAACTTACAACAGTCACTTTTCTCAACAACTGAAATGCAGAATAGTGTGATTAAGAAAAATATGTGAACTGTTTGCAATTTCAAATTAATATTGAAATGCACCGGTTTAGAATTTTCTACAGTGAAAAGTTTTCGGAACTTCAGTGTTAAAAAAAGTATACAAAAGCTAGACGTCAAGAGCGTATCCAATGAGCGAGTAAAGCGAGCATCGGATTGCTTTGCAATCTGAAATGAACTGCTAAAGCAGTTCCGAGGGTTGGCGAGCGCAAGCGAGCAGGGGGCGAAGCCTCCTAGTATAATAATAAAAGATTTATAATTTTTGAAGCTCCACAAGTCATTGAACAACAAAGGTTAATACTTAATTCTTTAAATATGAATATGCTTTTAATACTGATAAATGTTTTTGCATAAGGATAAATAATGCAATATTAAAAAAAATTTTTTTTTTTAAAAAGTACTAAATTTGTTTAAAAATTAACTTTTTATTTTTCACAATATTTTTTAAATTTTTTTTTATAATTTCTGCATTACAGGATGATAAAAAAAGACTATTTAAAAAAAAATTGTTTTCAAATATAAATATATTTGTTTAAATTGGAAAAACAAAATAAGTGAAAAATGTATTAACAGTTTTGAAGGGCATAACATCAGTTTCAGTTACTGACACTGGTGATGTATCACCACTATGCTAAAAGAATTGAACATGAATGAAATAAAAGTATTCTTGAATAATACTATAGATAAATAAACCTGTTTACGACTAACAAAGCACTTAGTCCCTAATAGCTTAACCTGTATGGCAAGGTCAAACTTCAGTTATGAACTATTGAATGAGAGGATTACTGATTAATCTTCCTTTGTTTAATGTTTAAATTGAAGAGTCAAACAATATTAATAAAATATCATACTTTTAAAAACAAATATTCTCTAGTAGATTTAATTATCAATATGTTATTAGTTAAATTTTTATTTTACCTTTTAAGTATTGTTCAGATAAAACTGTGACATAATTTTAGTAAGAGGGTTTTAGACAAGATGGTTCAAACCGTGGATTAATCCATTCTGTCCTAAACCTTGCCAACCCTGTGCTGAATATCTAACAAGTTATTAAACAAAGGCATAAGGATAAAGAATTTCGAGAAAAATTGAAGTAAATTACTAAAATTAATAGCACTATTGTTAAATCATTAAAGAAAAACTACTTTTAAAGCGTCAAAACATTGCTAAGCTTTTTTTATTTAATTTTAAAATTTAGTCGTTTTAACCAATAGCCATATTCTTTAAAAAAATAAGGCAAACTTTGTTTTAATTTTTTCAAATGTAAAAACTTTGAATATGAACAGCCCACATGAATGTTTATTCAGAGAAAAAAAACCTTCCTGCGTGTTATTCAGTATCTTACGTTACAGCTAGCATTAATTTGTATATTTTCGATCCATTAAGGTGGAAACTTGGTTTGTTAAAATTCGTTTATAAATACTTCAGTTATTCACAGTCATGCTTATTTTCTTTTTGTTGCTCCAATTCAAATTCCACTTGCCAAGAATCTACACCTTGTTCCACGTGACTGCATAAACAATTAAGCAAATTTTAAATGAAATTCCAATCTAATTTATTTGTTGTATTAGACTAAAATGTCAAAATTTCCCTCTTTTTTAGGTTAATTTCCTGTGATAAAATGATTATTCCTGAAGATGGCAATCTGCCTAAGATTACTAGAAAAGGTTTTGCAGCATTTAACAATATTATGCTCATCAGGGTTCCTGATAAATTTAAGAAACCCGGAGAAACAACCTACCAGTTTGCAACATTAGATCGGAGCAAAAAGGGAGAAAGGTGGCCAGCCGATGCATATGTAGATATGTTAAATTCACTCCCTTTAAACGAAACCAATTCTGCTGAAAACTCATCGAAATGTAAGGAGGATGCTAAAAAAGTGACTACTAGAAAATATGGAAAATTTCTTCCGAAAAAATTCCCCAAGAACTTTTCCAAAAAAGATCAAAAAGTTAGCAGTTCAACTCCACCACTTTCCCCAGATACTGCTAACTCAAAACATCACTTCATGCCGAATGCCTTTCAGGATTCAAAAGTTTCGCATAGAAGATTTCACAGTGGTAACCATTTTCAATATGATGAAAGGAATTTTAATGACACGGCACATAATTACAGACACCGTCCAAATAAATTTTCAAATGACCATCCATCGTATGGTAGACGTGAGTCTGGAGAGGGTACTTCATTAAATTCTTTTGCAAATAGATATGGTTCACAAAGCCATACTGTAAGTGCAACTGTTTCAAGGAATCCACCTATAAGAGACAGGTCCTATGATGGTGATTTTCCAAGAAATACCCCTGTTTTCCCCAGTACATTCGCACCCAATCCAAGAGAAAATCATTTCCATATTCCTGAGATTTCCAATCCAAATTTTTCACTTGCAGGTAGAAATTCTGATGAATATTTTGTTCAAAATGTTCCTAATACCTTTGAAAGGCAAATGTTTCCTTCATACAATTCAAATAGACCAGAATTCATGAATAACAACAATTTTGAAATACAACCCTTTCTTTGTGACCCGATGGGACCAGGTTTGAATGCTGGCAATAATCCTCCCCCCCTTCTCCCTCATCCCACACTTCCTCCATATGACAATTTTAATGATGGACAGTTTCAAAATAATTTTGATGGAAGAAAACCTCATCATGACCAAAATTCTTGGAAGAATCACAATCCACATTTTCGTAGAAAAGGTCGTAATCAAAGGATGCATAAAAAGCCATGGAGAGGAGGAGCTCATAACAAGTTTTCAAAAGTAAGCTACCTATATTTTCCTATCAAAATGTTATTACCAGTTTTATCAATAAAAGTTACTTTTGCATTAACGCGTTGACTGTATGGGGGTGATGCTTATTTGCAAATGATATTCGTGTGTATTTGAAAATATATTTCGCAGGAAGTAACAGAACTATTGGATTGTTATAAAAATAATACAAAAATGATTTATTAAGAAAATAGTGAGCCTCGTTAAAGCTTTCTTGTTCACTCTTTAAAAAATAAGTCTTCCATTTTTCTTTTCGAAATTTCAATGAATTAGGGTAAGTTTTGAAGTTATACTCATCTTTACTCAGCTGATCAGGTAAAGTGGCGAGATGAGGGCACAAATAAACAGACATGATACCATGGAAGCAAACAGAGCAAGATATTATTCCTGTGATTAGCAGAGATGCGCATTATTAAAATATCGGTGGGAATACTTAGCAGAATATGTTTTGTGCAGTTGTACTTGTGGCCTGAAGAAGATTTCACTGCAAATGTATGCGGCAGTGAACATATTAATAGATAATAAGTTTACGTTCATTTTTCTGTTATAGAATGCCTCAAAATAGAAATCCATGAAAAAATTCTTAACAGTCTCATAAGTTATTTGATTGTGGCAAAGCTCAAACTTTTACCCACTTTATTTCCGATTAAAGTTGATGGCGGTTTACTCTTATCTGAGGTGGTATTTTCATGCAGCAGGTTTTGCTTTTAAGAAAAGAAAGAATGTAATGTATTTAAGCTTAAATCTTCTATAATTCATACATTGTTGAGTAATTGCAGTTGATTTGAATATTTTTTTAAATTTGATTATGGGGTAAAAGATTTCGAATTGCAAGATATAGGAATTTTTAACGATGAAATGATAAAATACAAAGTTTCAAAATGGCTGTATTTTTTAAACATTCATTCTTTAAAAATTATACGACTGATTTGTCTTCTTTAATTCCAAAATAATACATCCTACAAGTTTATTTTTATTGAGCTGAATTCAAAACTAGATTTTGAGTTGTCAAGAAAATTTTGCTTTTTCTCTTCACTTTTTCTTTATTTTATAACTTTTCTTCAACTAACTTCTTTAAAAAAATCATTACAAATCACTATAGTATGAGTAGTCGTTTTAATCAGAGGCCAAAAATTAATAGGACTGGTACCTATCTCCTAAGTTTTCTGAAAATTTTATTAAGATATACATCATCTGAAGAGTGATTTGATATTTTTTGTTTGTGTTTCTTTTTCTAATTATTTAGTAATGTAACAAAGAAAATTTTTTGGTTTATCTATAAATAAGAATTGACTCATAGATTGTATTGTACATTCGTAGTATTCTCCTAATTATGTTAAGTAAAACTACAAATGAATTTAATAAATCTCAATCAACTGTTTCTCATAGGACCATTCATTGTGAACAATAGATAAAGGAAAACAGTAAATACAGATTAAAATAAAATATTAAATAATGATTAAAAGTAATAGGTTTGCAAATTAATAAATTTACAATAAGTATAAAAAATTTCGATTAAAACAATTATGTTGATACTGCAAAAATGTTTATGATGCAAAGGAAAGATGAATAACTATTTCTATATTTATATTGAAAACATTTGAAAATTTTGGTTTTTAGTTTAAACATTAATTGTTTCAAAATTTGTTGCAAATTACTTATTTTCTGTAAATACAAATTCCTGATTATTTTAAAAAAATGTTGAGGTCTTCAAAAGTGTTGGGATTCTGTTTTGTCATCTTCATTCAAGGGACAATCTAGGATTTTTAACTTAATATATGTTTTTGTGAAAAATTTTAGCGGGTCAAAATTTTCTAGGAAAATATTTTTAAAAGTTAAGATAAAATTTTAAAAAAAACTTAATTTTGAAGTAATATTAATAATGAAATAGTTATAATGCTATTTGTAGAATTCTTAAATATTGTGATAATTTGATCTACTTTATCATCTGACAGCTTTTCAGGGTAATTAAATAAAAATTTAAGGATTTTATAGAATGACTGCTCCTGAATTTCAAACAAACCAAATTCTTTCTACCGAAGCATTTGAAGTGGGCAGTAATACTCACTTCACAGTTTTGGGACTTCATAATGCTTGTCGTTTCCATGATATGCGATTTTTAAATCACGTAATCCAAAGATCCCTGATCTGATGTTTGTAATCAATTTGTATGATGACGTAACATTTTCTTCTAAATATTGTTGAATTCACATCTAATAGTTATTATTATTTTTTATAGGGGAATAATAATAGAAGAGATAACAGATATGAAAGAAAAGAGCTTTCTTGATTTTCTTGCTTCAGCATATTATGTACTTAAAAAGTATTGATCTGTTTTTATGATTTAATAATAATGAATGAGAAAATTTATCGAAGTTTAAAAAATTTGGAAGGTTTTCATGTACCTTAAAAATATATGCTTAAATTTGTACTACATTTACCAAGATAATGAATAAGTTTTAGGCCGAATTTGTGGAATAATTATGAATCATAACTTTATATTTTAATTACATTTTCAAAATTGTAAGTTAAAGAAGGAAGGAAATTAAAAGAATTTGAAAGCAATATAATTAAGGAAGGAATTTAAAAGGAATATAATATAAATTAAATGTAATTATTTATAGTGGAATATACCAAGCAAAACAAAAACTCACTTTTATATTGAATATGAATTTGCTCTACAATTCGTACTTAACTAGTGTAATAAAGGAAAAGCAAATTTATAAAGCATTACATTAATACTTTAATAATTCATTAAAATGCAAAAGCTGTAACAAAACGGTTACAGTTATCGAACAAGAAAGTATTTATAATTGTGGCAAATCGGCTTTTTTTATAGTGTTACCAGTTTATAGAATTTACCTACATAACATATAAGGTATATGATTTTCAGTTTAAAAAAATATTTAATATCAAATTAATTCATTTTTACTAAGCAGTATATTAATAACAAAATAATATTTTGTGATTTTACAAAAGTGGCACATTTAATTTTGGCAGTTTGCTTTAATTTTTTTCTCACTTTTGATGTTCTAATCCTTTGAAACTTTCAAACACTTGCAAAAAATTTTTTTATCGCATTTCTTAAAAGTGATTTTACTTGTAATATATATATCACTATCTACATATATAATGACAAAAATGATTTCTTTTCCCACCTCTTAGACAAATAATAAAGATTTGCAGCCGTGCAAATGAATTTGATAAATGGTTATATTGCCAAAATCTATAATTGTCCTGCTATTAGTGCACAAAATATCAACAAAACTACAATATCATCTTCACTTTGATAGTTGAAACATGTTGATTAAGTCATTCTAAGCTTCTTGTTTTTGCGAAATCAGTTTCAAATTTATTTTCTGTATTAAGTAAAGCTGTTTGCTTAAGTTTAATTCATTGAAAGCAGTTGTTTTATTTTATATTCAATGTATTAAAAAAAAATTTTTCTCTAACTATGTAAAATTACTTTCTAAATGAAATAAATATTTAGTTTCATAAACAATATAACAAAGATTAGTTCTGTTTCCACTTTTTCAGCATTGTAATCAACTGTTTGTGCTGAATATAATATGAGTCTGAATATATGTCAATAATTTTTTTAGAAAAAAAAATCTGCTGCAGATGATAAAAGGTTAAGCTATGTACCTATACTACTGGTTTCTGCCATTCTTAAGGGAAGGACAATTGTGCCTGGTACCAGTTGAAGTTTTTTACCTTAAGTGTTTTTTTTTTTTTTTTTTAAATTAAGCTTGAAAAATTTGCACTGAATTACTTTATCTAATAATAATATAAACCAGGGTTGGGTTTTTGAAGTCAAAAAATGGTTTTTGACATGACAAGGGTATAATACTGGTTTAAACCGTCAAAAACTGAAGTTTGCCAAGAAAATATATAAACTTCAAAACTACCAACAGTTGCCATGCATTATATTGAAATTTAATTATACTATAGGTAATCAGCAGGTTTTAAAATATTTTTTAATTAAAATTAAGGTAAAATAACAGATTTAAAATCTCAGAAATTTATATTCAAATGCATGTGCAGAAAAATTTTGCACAAAAATTTTTTAAATATTTATATTTTAAAAAAAAAAATTTTTTTTTTGATACTTAAGAAAATTAAAAGTTTATTACTATGCATTTTTGACATATAAGGAACATATAACTAATATTTATAAGGAACTTACAAGTTATGTTGTATAAATACAAACTTGATATAAGATACAAGTGTATAAAAAATTTTTTTTAATGTTATACCGAATATCTTTATTATCCAGTATGTTAATTTGAATTTAAAAGTAGTTATATTTGTGAATAATGATAAATATAATTCATATTGTTTATTATATTTATTTATAATTATTACACTTATCATTTTAAAACAATTTTTATCTCTTAATTTTTTTTTCTCCACTTGTATTAAGAATACAAATAATGCATATCTTGAAAGCAAGAAGTAATTATTCAACAGCTGAATATTTAGATATTCAACAAAACTATATAGTATTCAGCAAAATGAAATTCACAAGTATTTGGATAAACTAAATTTTCAGCATAGTAAATGAATAGGCTGAATATACTGTAAATCGACACTAACTACTCTGTGTATTTAACAGAAAGCACTTAAATTTGTATTGTCTTATGTTAAAAAGATTATTAAGAAGATTTAAAAGAATATTAAAAAGATTTTTCTTTAAAAGATGTCTAATGTACAAAACTGCTAATGTTTATCTTTAAAAATGTCTAATTTTTAGTATAATCTATACTATACACTAAATTTGGTTATAAATAAATTTCTTAATAATATCACTGCAGATTTTCAATAACACATGAAAATGAATACATAATATTACAAAAGATGTGAGCTTTCAAAAGTACAAGATTTTGGTTACTATTCAAAATATAAGTGTTTCTTCAAAATTTTAAATTTATTTTTTCTAGAACATATTTAGAAACACTATCCTTTATAAAAAATATATAAATTTTATGTATTAATTAAATTTTACATATGAATATAGGTTTTTGACGTGACGGTTTAAACCGTCAAAAACTTTCGCATGTCAAAAACCTGCCAACCCTGATATAAACCAATAAAGATTTAGTTTTCAGCAGAGAACCTCTTAAAAATTTTAACAAAATGTAAATTATAACCAGAGATCTTGAAAAAAAAGCAGGGTGATTTTTCAAAAATAAAGGCATCTTCAGTGTTAAAGGACACTAATCTTGCTAATCATATCAATTATATCTAGCTATAATAGTGCCCGTAACAAATTAAATAGTACTCAAATAAATACAAGAAAATCTTATATTAATTTAGCTAAAAAACAATTTGCAGTAGTTATATCTTGAAGTTCCTGGTTTCTGCCGCTGCAATCTCTTTCGTTCTTAAAATATAAAAGGAGCATTTTTTTCTGAATGAAAAAGGGACAACATTCTTACAACGAAGATGATTCATTTACCTCTGTAAAAGAGTTCGGACCACTCTTATAAAAAAAAAAAAAACACTTATGGAGAACAACTTTGAAAAATAAGTTATGAAAATTGGACTTTGTGGAAGGATCCTGACCTGTGTTCAGAACTTGATTTTGGATTATCCATTACTTGTTAAATTTAATAAACATACATTTAATGGAAAGTGTGCTATACTATTAATTAAAAAAAAACCTTATAGCACTTATTGATGTCCTCTTTGAAGGTGTTGCAGCAATAATTATAGAATATCCTCTGTTAGTTAATACCTCTTTGTAAATGGCTGCAACATTTTAACTTATGTTGAACAGAAGATGTTGAAGTATTAGGCCATTATAAAAAATAAAAACTAACTATTGATACTTTTTTTTAAATAAAATTTTTTATGTATAAAATAGCATCAATTTTTTTAAGTGAATGAAAAGTGTAAAGAACATTTTCAGAAATATTAGTTCAAGTACAACTGGGTTAAAGAATTATATTTTACAATATTCTCAGTCCTAAGTGCTTTTTTAGACTCTAATTTAAAATGACAAATATTTAATTTAGAATAATGTGCATAAAAGTTTCTTTTGCCTTTAGGGACCTGTTCTTGCATTGATTATATTTCATTTGTTTCTTTCTCTGTGTTCAAATTTGCTAAGAATACTTTTATTTATATTTAAAAAAGGAAACGTTCACTTCATGTACAGAGATGTGCTAAACTATTATTTCAATATCACAATTAGCTTTGGTATTGTTATGTGTGTTATTACAAACTTTTAATTGTTGTTGAATATCTTAAGCCATTAAGTTTACTTGTTTAAACCCTTCCATTTCTCTCCAGTCAAAATTACAGGGTAAAATTTTGCTCTCTATTTCGCGTGCCTGTGATATTTCTGAGCTGGGTTGCTCAAAAATAATGCACCAAAAATATTAAAACAATCTATTTCTCGTGCTCGGAATCATGTTTATTTCTCAATTTATACACCAGATGGTAATACTAGTTGTTTTAATATTTAATGCAAATATATTTTAATGTAATTTTTTTTTATTTCAAGCTAAAAATTAAAAATGAATACATATATTATGCATGCTTAGTTTAATATAATTAAAAAAAAAAATTTGGCACTTTTATGGCAGTTTTCTTCAAAATTCTTCGACCATTAAAGGGTTAATGTGTTGCAAATTTTGAAAATCTTTTTCTTTTTTTACAAATTTAAAATGGTATTTTATGTTTCATTTTAACTAAAAATAGTTTGAGCAAAAAGTAGTTTTTTTTTATTGTTCTTGAATTCTAATTTATTTAAGTAATAAAGATCAAGATTAGGGGTGACCATGTTGTGACTACTAAAAATATTGTTATTATTTGCCACTGTCCTCACTTGTGTTTAAAGAGAGGTGATGTGACAAATTTTGAATGATTGATCTTACTGTAGACTTTCGATTGAAAACAAATCAATGCTAAGTTCAAAAATAATAATAATCTTAGATGCCAAATTGACGTCAGTTACAATAATTTTTTTCTTTCTCTGGAATTTTAATTATTGTGAAGAGAGTTTTTGTTCTCTCTCAATTAATAAGTTATGCAGAAGTGAAGTTGTGGGTAAAAACATGAATAACAATTTTAAGAAAAACTTTACGTTAAAAACGTTTCTCGTAAAAATGTTTCTCATAATTAACACTTTAAAATAAAGGTAATATTAATGTTGTTAATTACTTATTAGCATTTATTTAAAATCATAATTTTTGGATTTTAATAACAATTTAAAAGCTAATTTCTTGTTAAATTACTTTTTTTGGCTTAAAAAAAGTGTGGACACCAAAATTCACTTCCATCTTTACTAAGTTATCAAAAAAGGAAAAAAAAAATGTCTTTACTATTCAGCAGGTTTCCTTGATTTAAATCATTCATTTGCATCAAATTATTTATTTTCAAAAGAAATCGTCAATTTAAATTTACTAAGTATTTTGTAATTATTTAATTTTTTTTTCTTCCTATTATTTTTATCTTAGTTTTAAAATTTATTGTAAATATATTGCAGTATTGTTTCAATAAGCTAAATATTATTAGTATTTGGTTTTGGTGTGCAAAAAATAAAACGTTTTTAAAATATTTAAAAAAATCCTTAATTTTTTTGGATTTTTCAGAATGTAAAGGATGAACAAAATGTAAATTTAATGTTTTTTTTATTATATACTTTGTAAAAAGCTATCGAATGTGTATTTTTTTTTGTTGCAAAAACACTAGGTTAATAAAAATCTTACCAATTTTTAGTGTTAAAACATAATCTTTACTATTTTATTATTATACATAACCACATTTTATTTTAATGTTGCATATATATTTCCAATTCTTAAAATATATACAATTTTACTTGGAAATTATGCTAATATGGTATTTTAAAAAAATTGTTTAAAGATAAATTCAGATTGCTTTTTTTATTGTGTGATTTCTTAATAAACTGATAATTTATTTTATATAGCAATGTACCTGCAGTTAAGGTATAAGGCAACATAATTTACTTTGTCATTTCAAAACTTTTTAATAAAAAAAAAATCCGGTGAAATTAATTTATTGATTTTTTTATTTTAGCCTGTTTTTCAACAGTTAATAATTATACATTTCCATTCCATTTTTAATAATTTTGAATCTTACACTTGCATAGAATTGTGTAATATTTTTTCGTTTGCAAGAATATAATTTTAAAGGTACTGATATAATTTATTTTTAATAATATTTCAATTATTAAAGTTCTCAAAATATCTTTAAATAAATAAATAAAACCAGATTTAAATACCATAAATCATTTTTTTAAATTATTCGTTTAGCTTTTCTGCTGTTATTTAAATATTTTCCCTTCCCAGAAACAGAGAAGAAAAAAAGCTTTACTTTGTAAAAAATGAGATTCTTTTACTTCAGATTCTTAAAATTTTAGCAATGAGAAAGTTTTTTATTAGTTAGCAATAATATTAACTATGCCTCAAGGTATTATTTTACTATCTACTACCTTTTCATAGGGGTAAAATGTGTGTAATAGCTATAAAATGTATATTAAATATCTCAATACTTCAAAAAATTGAATTTTTTTAAAAAAACTATTTTCATATTCTTAACGTATGACAGCAAGAAAAGGTTTTTAAGATCCAACAAAATCTCATTGAAATATTTTTTTTCTTCCAATTTTGAATTGAGAATTAGGGAGAAAAAGATAATGAAATTGAAACTAACTTCATTTTCATAAAATGCGTGAGTTTGTAATGCAATTTAATAATTTTTGAACTAGAAAAGGATGAATTACAATAAAGTTATAATGCAAGGGGCTAATTTTAAAGCCTTATGATGCTTGCATCTTATTTCTTTAAAAAAATTTAATGCCTTTAGAAAACCTACATAATAGGAAAAAAAGGTTATTAAAATAGTAATATATATGTATAAATAGTTAAAATAGTAATATAACAAATATAGTAATAAATGTAAAATGTGACGAGGTAAAAACCTTTTTCTGCATTTTTATAAATTCAGTTTCTAAAATAAAAATTCATTTTATTAAAAAAATGGAGATGTATAAAAACAACTCTTAAACATTCCATTATGAAATAAAATTGTATTTAATTTCTTTTTTTTTCAGCTAAAAACATAGAATACTATTTTTAAGGGGGCTTAAAATTTATTACCAAATCATATTTCTTCAAAATCAGAAGATGTTCAATTTTTCTACCATTTTGTATCCTGTCAAATATACAAAATATGAAGATATTTCGAAAAAAAGGTATAAATATTTCAATGCAATGCATGTATTATTTGAAAACAACTTACTAATTTTAAAAGTCAAAATAGGTTAACTATGCAAACTTTTTAATTAGGAAAATTTATTCTGAATGAAACTTTTAAATCTCTCCTCGAGATGAATTCATAAAAATGGTCTACACTAAAACTAAATTGAAAAAAAAAAAAAAAAGCTCTTTTAACAATCATAACTAAAGCCAGGATTTTGATGACATTCATATTTTATCACTTTTGCTAGTGAAAAGCATTTTCTTTTTTGTTCGTTTATTTTGGTACTTAAAAAAAAAATTTTTTTTTTTTGGAAGTATTAGTTCATTTTTACAACTTTTGGGGTGTTTGTTTCTGAGTTTGATTTGTCAGTAACAGTTTTTCTTTCTCCTTTAATCTTTTGTTATTTTTTAACTCATATTTCACTATTTAAAGAAAATTGTATCCAATTTTTTCTTAATATAAATGCTTTAATGCAATTGTATGTTATATGAATTTTTGGGAAAAGAATGTTTATGTTTTTAAGTGTATTTTTTGCTATTTTAAAGGAGATTTTTAGGCCATCAAAATCCAGGCTCTATTTACGACCAAATTTTCAATTATATACTTGGTTGTTTCTCATTATATTAAATAAGCCTGTGTTTTGCCAATATGAAATGACTCAAAATGTTATTTGTATTTTTTTTCTTATAATAAAACTTTAGTTATTGGAAATTTTTACATTAATTCAAAATAATTATGATTAATAGTTCTTATTAATAAGACTATGCTTGTGCAAAAAAATTCTTAATTCTCAGATTAATATGTTTTATTCATTAAGAGAGTCATCTTAAAGAAATATGGTTTTATTCCTATAACATAGAAATAAAGATATTAATAAAAAAGTACAATGTTTAAAATATTTTAATGAATTATTACACAAAATACAACAATTTTAGAGTGTTCTATGAATTCTGCGAGATCTGAGCTCGTCAAAATATTCTTTAAGCTTTTCATCTCCTGTAAGTTCAGGTTTGTAATAATGTTTAGGAGGTGGTCCTTCCACAAGTCTCACGAAATAATGACAATATCTATAATGTACTAAACCAAATCTCATTTTGGCATGTCTCCTTATGCCTTTAATAATGTTAGCTTTTCCAACAAATGATTGAGCTGTAAAAAAAAAAAAGTTTTCATAAATTATTAAATCATACTTGCATTATAAGTTAATATGCATTAGTATGCAAAATAAAAAAAATAAAGCAAAAAGTCAATAGCTTATGATCTAGTAATTCGATTTTCAAGGTGCAATTTTAATGGCTCCTTGGGTAAACCTTGAATGAGGTAACTATATTTTAAACTACAAAATGAGACACAAAAATTTACATTAGAGCAAAGATTCACCAAGTTGTTCCATTAGCCAAAACTATGAAGAAGAGTGCATCTTTTTTTTTCTTTCCAACAAACATCAATCCATATCTTTAGATTTGCTACTTGTAATAAAAAAAAATACCTTAAAAACATTCAGTTAAACTTCAACCACCAGCGAAGCTTTTTTTTTTTTTTCAATGTATAGTTTACTGAAGGTTTTCAGTAATTATATTTCAAAGAATGAAGTGTCCTGTAATTTTTAACAAGGATTGATAATGAATGTAAGAAATTAAAACAGCCAATTGTAAGCAAACATTCTGTATTAAAAAAGTATTAAAAATTATTTCTTTAGTTTTTTTATTTTAGTTCTGTAAACTAAAGCTAATAATTTGTGAATCAAAATTTGTGTACAAGAATTACAAACCAGGCTTTGTGAGAATATATTGTATAAACTAATAAACTAAAATTAGAAATATTTAGACAGCTTATATTTTGCTTTTCTCTGAAAGTGATTTTCCCTTAACTAGTATTTTTATGCATATTAGTGTACAAAATTGTATAAAAAATTACACAGACTCATAAGATAAACTGAGAGAAATAAACATTTTATGTTTATGTAACACAAATGCAGTAATAACTGCTTGAAATTAAAGTTGTTCTAAGATTTGAAACAAGTCTTAATCCTTCAATATATTATGCACATCCTCATTCATTTAGGGTTATAAAATAAACACATTCACAGTTAGAAAAGGTTTTAGCAAGTAAATAGTACAAACTTTTGAGCGATAGGCTGAGGGCTATAGTTTCAAAATTGATGTAAATGTATTAACACATCAGTTGTATTTTTTATGCAATTCTGAATAACTCTCCTGTAATGCATGCAACTCTGGATAATTATAGTGTTTAATAAATGTCTTTTTGACACATAGGTTTGAAAATATTTTATTTTAAAATAAACTTACACTATTGCCCTAGATAAAGATATTCTTTCACCTCGCCTTTTTTTTTAGCATCAACTGATTTCATAATTTTTTGAGGTTTATATCTTTGCAAGCTTATTATGGCCTTCTTCAGATTTTTGCACACATTCAGTAAATTGTCTATATATCTCCAATTTTTAATACTACTTATTTCTGAAGAAATTAGTCTGAAATTTTAATTCAATTAAATGCATTCTACATTACAAAATGTTCAACAAATATTGTATGTTATAAACAAAGAAAAAACATGCTAGTGAATTTTCTGAAAACTTATCTGCACATTGAACAAAATAAGTTAACATCTTAGATTAATCCGTAAGACTTCTAAACGCACTTGTGATTATTACTTTACTGAAAAATGTAAGCAATCACATATTCTCTATATCTTCTAAATTAAAGAAAATGACCATTGAGTAAAATACAGAATTAAAAATAATTTATTGCATTTTGGCTTTTTATAAGTGATGTAAGTGTTTAAAAAATAAAATCCATTTGTTGGCTAATTCAATTGCTCATAGACTCTATTGCAATAATCATGTTACAGATTTATTTCCACTTTGTTCCATGTTTTAATGAAATTTAACTGACTCACTGATAATACTAAATTTTATAGTAAAGTGAGCCCAATTTAAACTTGTTTTTGTCAGTAAAAATGTACTACAGCCTAAACTTTATCTGGAATTTACAAGCCTAGTTTACATGTTAACACACAAGAAGTTTAAATTGGGCTCCTTATAATTTTAAACATTGTGCAATGTAATCGCCTATGTACCTAGAAATTGACCCACAGAAAAATGGAATGGACCTAAGCAGGCATTATAAATAGCTTAATGCAACCCTCGACTTTCCTGCCTTCAACGCAGCAAGACAAAATTCCATGTAGTTTAGAGAGGACAGGGAGGGTTAACAAATTTATGTCCACTTAGAATAGACAAAGTCTTGTTTTTGTGGGATTTAATGGGATAACACTGCGAGCGTATAAAAATCTCTGTACTAGCACTGAAAATTTAATATACAGATGCTAGCCTAATAAAATTAAAAATATAATAAACTAGTTTAGTTCACAGCAAAATGAGAATGTAAGCTAACTATAAATTTATTGTGATTATCGACATAGAGTTGATCTCCATAATATGCTGCTTAACTTAGCAATATGTCTAGGTTGACCCTCCTATTTCAAGCAGGTACAAAGAAAAGTAAGGTCTACTTCTTTTGCAATACAAAAATTTGTTAAGTTTCTATAATACATCATTTTAAAGGTTGAAAATTTTTTAATGAATGGATTTTCTATTGAATAAAGGTTGAACATTTTCACTTGGTCAGTGCATATTTGTTGACATTATAAGCTCATGTCGCACCAGTTCCTTGGATTGTTTTTTTAAAATTTTTTAATTGACCTTATCTTTCACTCCATCGTCTGCAGTAGTTTCAATGAAACATCCTTACTCATCTTATAGACTGACATAAAAGGCTAACTAGCTCATGCTCTCTAAGTTGAAAGGCAAATGAGTTCTCACGATGAAATGAAAGATGACGACTAAATGACAAGTTGGTATGGCAAAAAAGCAATAATCTAGAAAAATAGATAAGATTATCAACATTTAAACTCAAAACATTTTCTTACTCGGGACAGAAGCATCTTTAAAGGTCTTGAGGAGGGTGGGGGGCAAGAAATGTTCCACTACTTTAAAATACCTCATATAACATATAAAGTTACGTCAGTCAAAATTTGAGACCAGCCGAAATAAAAAGAAAAAAAGCTAGGAAAAATAGATAAACTAGAACCATTTCCAACAACTGCCATTTAATGTAATGCATCTTGTGAATGAAAGCATATTTTTTTAAACCAATAACATAATTTAGTTATGATACTACAGTTTAGTTAAAGAGAAAATTCATTGAGTTAAAATAGTAGTTATGCAACTTAAAATGCATTTTCCATGTCATTCACTATTAAGACATGATAGAAATCACCAAAATTAATCTAAAAACTCACTACTTTAAGTAGAAAACAAATTACTTAACATATATTTCCCAAGTTATTCACAGATAAAATATAAAAACACTTCCATTAAAAATGCATTCAAATCACAGATTTCTGTCAAGCTGTTTTAGTGACTTTAAACACTATAAACTAAAGACATAATTTTTGACTGTCTCTGCTGAAATTCTATTTTCATGACTGATGATAATGCAAATCAGTTTTTTTACGTAGTTGTTGACCAAAAAATAAAAAATAGTTTAACCATACACAAGTTTAGCTATTTGACATAATTGTATATTCAATTATTCATTAAGAATAATTTTTAAGAGTAACTCTAATCATATTTAAGTATAAGTATGTTTTGCTTATTATTAACTCCATTTAGTTGTCGAATTATGATTATAATTTTTTTTATTAGAATAGTGACAATTTGTAGTATAGCAGATGGTAATTCAAATAAATAAATATTTGCTCACAATACTTACCAACCCAAAGATTACTCTTGAATTCTACATTATGTTCCTTTACTGCTAATTCTTGAGCTTCTTGAATAACCTAAAATAAAATGAGCCATGTAGTAAAAGAAAGTATTCACATTGATATTTCATAACCAGCTTTGAATAGCCAATTCATATCGGATTCGTGGTCACATTTATGTTCAACTTCCTGGCTTCATAATTTTTAAATTAACTCAGAAGACAATGTAATTCTCAAATCAAGCATTAATTCAAGCATGTAATTCTTAAATCAAATTCTCCTGATCCTCACTTTTGTGAAGATATATTGAGTGAAATCATCCTGCATTTGTATAACGTGTAGAGGAAAACCTTTTGCAGTTTGCCCAACAGCAAGGGAGCTCTAACCTATGAATCTACATAGGTTAGAATACTATGATAGCAATATGAGTTAAAATCAGCATACAAAGTATGCAACCTTCTGGAAATATTTATACATATGTACATATTAATTTATTTATTCTTTTTCTTCCATCAGAATGTCAACCTAGTATGGGCCAACTAGTTGTCTATCTGGCTCAGACACTAGATTTCTCCATTTATTGATTCCCATAGTTTTTAAGATCTTTTTCCACAAGATCAATCCATCTGGTGTTTGATCTTCCCCTTCTTCGGTTGCCTGTAAACTTTCCAAAAGTCTGCTTTTTAACTGGGTCACCATCATCCCTTTAAATAGATGTGACCCAGCCATCTTATTCTGTAAGATTTAATAATTGAAATTAAGTTCGGTTGCTTAAAAATTCTGTATGATTCATAATTGTACTCAATCCACCAAACACTGTTTTCTTTAACAGCTCTCCGAAGATGGCTCTAAGTATTTTTCTTTCAAATATTAGTGGTTTCTTTTCCTCAGTGTAATTTAAAGGCCAACATTCGTGGCCATAAAATAATATAGGTTTAATTAGAGTATTACATAAAGTAATTTTAGTGAAAATAAGCTTTGATTTCAATTGGCTTCTTAACCCAAAATAAGACCTATTAGCCATTGCTATCCAGTTATTAATTTCTGTTTTGATATCATTATTAACTGTAACATTAGAACTGACTGACACCTTTAAATGAATAAGCGTCGGTCATGAGAGGTAGCTCTTACAGATATTATAGAAAAGAGAAAACAAGGGGGCTCTGATCATTCATCTACTGCTTTTGTCTGCACTGCTATCGATACCAGTTAAAAGTAGTTGATAAATTACCCAGCTATCACTGAAAATATCTATGCATATATACACATTTATTTATGTATGGCTTTTACAGATATTATAAAAAAGAGAACAATAATAACAAGCACAACATCCTAATTTTAAGTATAACTGCTTGTTTAAAATTTATATCCAATTTATCTAAGAATTTAACTTTGTGTCAAGACAGAATCAATTAATTCAATTCAATTAAATCTTATTTTAAAAACATAAATGAGATCTAAAACTTTTTTTTATATCATTAATAAAGAAAAACTAAATTACACCTAAGATAAACCAATGTAAGAGAAGTAATTATGCAGTTTTAATTATTACATTATTTTAAATGAAAAGAAATTCTTATTTTATTAAAAAAAATAATACCTCTTTGACAATGTATGCACCTTTCATAGGAACAAATGTCAGTTGCTTGATTGCTTCATCAACTGACATACCTCTAACCTATTAAAATATTATGAGAATATCAAACAAAAACATGAAAACAAAATATAAGATTCAGAGATAAAACAAAAATTGATATTAAATAATTAAAAGTTATAAAATGTAAATACATAGCAACTGTAATTACTTTTTGTATGCAGATTTATTCAAATTAGAGACAATCATAACAATTCAAGGCAATTAGATTATACAATTGACAGTTTCAAAATTCTTATGATTAATGAAATGATAGATCAGTGTTAAAAAACAGTAATTATGACTGAAATTTTTCTCTATCTACATCTATAAGAAATCTACATCTAAAAAAAAAGTAGTTCTATTGGCTAATTTGTCTGAATTGCAAACTTTAATTTTTATGTTTTTGTAAATTACAATTACAGTTGGAAGATCTTTATAATGATCAAATTTCATGAAGAGAATAATGAATAAATACTAATTGGAGGCAAAGGTGCCATAAGCTTATATTTATAAAGTTCTTAAAGTAAACTTAGAGTAAAGTTCTTAATTTACAATATCGAATTTCACTTAACCACAATTAATTTATTTCTATTAAGATTTGAAAGTTCAAAATTCCATTAAAACCCATGCATAAAAAAAAGTTTAACGTTTGTTTTGTATAGTGATTGACATAAAAGATATACAGTAATGGAAATAATCAAAGAAGATTAACAAAATAGAAGATGATATTTTAACGATGTTGGTAATAGTTAGTTCCATAATCTACTCTGAAATTTGTTAATAATTTGATTGAAAAAAAAATTGAATACTATTAAAATTGGACAACGATTAACTTTATAATGTATAATTTTTGACTTTTTCTGGGGTGTTAACTTTTCTGTTCCTTTTTGTACAAATTTAAGTAAAAAACTGTTTAAATTCTTCTATAATCAACCACAAAATGATTTTCTTTTATAATTTTCAGCCTGCTAAAAGATTCTTTACAGTAAGGACAGGAACAGATATAGATATTATTGAACAAAGGTTTATTTGCTAAACATAACAAATTCTAGGAAGCTGTTTAATTTTTCTCTTAAGTAGACGTTTTATTTGATGTGTAAATTCTAGAGAATTTTTAGTTCTATATGTATTAATTGGTGTGTGTGTCACTATGTATTAGCTATTGAGCCAAACGTTTCAAAAGATCAAGGAATAATAAAAATATTTGAAAGGTGAAGGTGTCCCTGACTAGGCAAACCAATTATTCAAATTAAAAATATTTCCAATGTTTTAAACGATGGGTACACATATCATAACACATAAAACTTGGACAATTGCATAGTTATATCTAATTCTCAGTCAAAATTTGGGAGAAAATCAGTTCAGCAACTCAGAAGCAGAAATCTCTGCATAGATCTACATCATGGAAAAATTCTAAAACATTTGCCGATCGTGTGGTAAAATATTTGTAATATATTATCATGTTTTCCACATCTTTAAAAGCAAGATTGTTTTATGGTAGTATGATAAATAAATTTAGAATAGTTTTATCTGCAAGGTCAAAATAAATATGCAGCGCCAGCCTATATAGTGCCACGCTAGTTCTGCTACAGGGCTCAGAAGTTAGGTAAATAGTACCTTAAAATCAGAAAGATTCTAAAGTTACTATTCTAACAACAAAAATAAAGTGAAAGCAAAAGAAATAATACTTACAAGGCATGCCACATACCACATTTTTTTCGGAGAGTATTTAATATTTTCCCTTAAGTGACAGATCCACTAAAACAATAAATAAAAATGTTAAGCATTTAGTTATGAAAGCAGGCTAAAAAAGAATAATGCAATTTTCTTCCAAATTAAAATAAGAAGAAAAATCACCTAAAAGAATTGTTTATATGAAATTTTGAAAAAAAATTTCCATTTAAGTGAACGTGTCCGAAATTCGTGACAGCGAGTTCTCTTAATGTAAAAATATTTCTGTAACCTATATATAAAAATATTTTTTATATTTATTTATAATTTATTAAACATTAAAATTTTTTAACTTAAAAAAATATGAATATTTCAATTTTTTTTTAATTTTTAATAAAATATTTTTAAAACATAATACTGTATAACAGTACAGTGATTCCTAACACTTTTTTTAACCATGAAAACTATAGAATACAATTTTACAAAATTGCATTCTAGCACTAATTGTATTGGTATAAATTATTTATCAGTCTGTAAATATTCATTGAATGAATTTTTTTATTAACCTTTTGCATGATAACACCTGCTATTTTAGACCATCAATCATAATAGCCGTAAGCAAAGTTTAAAAAAAATTGTTACATGTTGATGGGTTATTGTAGTGTGTCTACCACTACAAAATTCCAATTCAAATCCACTAGTATATAAGACATGTTAACTCGATGATAGGGGTACCTTTTCATAGATGAAGGTTGACATTGTGGATAACTTCTCTCCCCACATGGGTGACCCAGACGTGATGTGAACATGCCTATCTTGACAGAGACTCCCACTTTGATAAAAACACGCCTATCTTGACAGTAACGCTAATTTCAAACTGAACACGCCTACTTCGATGGATGGTCCACATTGAACAGTTGACTTGCTACGTGTGACTGCGACATTATTCACTCCTCGTGCTGTTGCTACTCAGTCTCGATTACACACAACATAATCACTCGACTTCTAAAGGCAACACAGGAGCGACCACAATCGTGAACTTAACACAGTTCTCGTGATCAGCACTCAAGAGTACGGCAATCATAATACAGCTCTCCCTGCTTCTCACAAAACAACAACGGATCAACTAGTGGTATCCATTCATCGAATTCTATCACAGCTATAATTCTGGTGGCGGAGTACTGTAGTGTGTCTACTCTACCAATTCACTACTACTATATAAGACACGTTAACTTGATTCTATGCTGGGGTACCTTTTCATAGATGAAGGTTCATATTGTCGATAACTTCTCTCCCCACAGTTATTATCTGGCTTGAGAGAATGAGTAAAATAAATTATCCAAATGACAGAAATCTTAGCCTAAATAAGTTGATGTTGAAAATTGCTTCAAAAATTTAATTGACTTTTTTAGAACCATATATTTTTGTAAATCTAGAAAAAAATTTACAATATTTATTTTAAAATTTTCAAATGTTTTTGTTACAATATGAATTTTTTTTATTAACTGCAGTTTTGAATTGGGTCCACAGAAAACATGCTTTTTATCATTAATTTTTTAATTTCGCTTTGGTTTTTTATTTCAAAAATACATACAATGTATTACTGAATGATTGATTTAATCTTACATAGCTGTGTTCACACAAGTTCAATTTATTAAAATAATCATAGATATCAGTGAAATATATAATTTTAAATTAGTAAATATTCTTACTAAGATAATCTACTTACAACAGAAACTACATTAGCAATATACATAACATATATTATTAAACTTTTATTCAATCCCATAAAAATTAAAGAGGTTGATCCATTCATGCCAAGGAAAAAGCATTATATCTTTTTCTTTTGAGTTTCACTTTTGAAAAATTCAGTGCAGTTTTAAATTTGCCACTACATTTTAAGGTCACACGATACAACTAATGGTATTCACTTAGTGCACCTGCATTCTATCTATAAAACACTAGTTGAGAACCAATGCTGCAATATATCAACAGTGTAAGACTTAAGAAAATAAAAATAAGAAGAAGAAGCTTTCAAACATCCAAATTGTGGCAGTAAAATTTATCAAAATAAATTTGTAGTGAAATAAGCTATTTTTAGTTTAGTTAATATTTTATTAGATTCTTTCGTAGCGTGTAATTATTTTTCAACTGATATTAAACAAATAATATTTTTGAAAAAAAAAAAAAAATCTGTGAATTTATCAAAATTATGTTTTATTTTAGAGAAACTAATTTTAAAAAATTACAATTAAAAAAAAATTAAATAATCATCTAAATCAAAAATAATGCATATCACTTAGTATTCATTAAAAATTTAATAAAATTACAATTTTAACTTCCTTTTCAAGTAAAGAAACATTTTTATAACTTAGAAATCTTTTTAACATTCATTATATCTAAAAACCAGTTTTAGTGTAGTATGTATTGAGTAAAAAAATTATTATTAAATTTAATACTAATGACAGAAAGAACACGAAAAATTTAGAAAAAATAAATAAATAAAATAAAAAAATTTTTAATAGGAAAACCTAAAGGTTCTCATCAGGATGCATTCTTTTACAATGGTGACATTTCAAAACAGAGAATAATTATCCTAATATAAAAGTCATTCTTCATAATGTGTCTAAGTCACTAAAAATTTAAAAAAAAAAATGAAATGAAATTAAAAATAAGATTAGGATGAAAGAAGAAAAGCAGAAAACAAATTTACCCATATGGAGTAAAATATAAAAATGTCTTGAAATGAGATATACTAATCTAACAAGAAACAGTTAACAAAAATAGTTAAGAAGAAAAAGAAATGTACTTTGAGCTTATATCCTAGAAAAAAAGACTTTCTCGGAGAAATTCTAAACTAAAGTTTAGAGTTTTTGAGGTATACTTACTGCTGGTCTTCTAGGTTCATCAGGTTTCAAAGGAGGATAAACCCACTCATTCTGGTCTGTCCATTTTTCAACTTTATAATCAGTCTTGCTTGTATGGAAATTATACGATAAAGATAAACTTCCTTGACCTGGTAGCTTTCTCAAACATGTCACAGAAGAAATATTTAAAGTCTTTAAAAGACTTGGAAGAAGTTTCAAAGACATTTTGTCACTAAAAAAATTGAAAAGGTAAATCACTAAGAATAATTTAGTATTCAAATGCTTTATGTAAAAATTTAGTCATTAGAAAAAGCAAGTAGAATGTTTTATTTTGTAGCAAAATAAATTTTTATATAGGGTCAGGTAGAAGAAAGTAAGGGCTAAAAACAATTTTTTCTTTTCTGTTTTTTTCTTTCCTTTTCAAATGCAAATTAAATGAAACTTTAAATGAAAATCAGTTGAAACTTTTGATGCATTTTATGTACAATGGATCATATAGATAATATAAAATACAAAAAATAGCATTTCGATTTTCTTTTATTGTTCTCTTACTGTAATGCATTAAAAGAACATGTTTTGATAAAACCCACTTTACCCCAGGGTAAGATAAAATAGGTGGATTTCTAAAAATAGTGTACATTTCAATGAAAAAAATATAAGTAAATACTATTCTTGAAATCAAAATATCCTTAAATAAATGTATTTTGATTATATTATAAAGTACAGTTGCTCAGAATAATTTTCGTTTTCACATTATTAAATTAACAAGTTTATATCCGCGGTTATCAAAATTAGATTTCACTTAGGATACAATATATTTCGCTTAACTTTACATAATTTCATAAAAAAAGAAACTAATAATTAATAGTTTTTGACATATTTGAAATATAAAAGAGAGTGTAAAAAATAATATCTTTGTAGGAGCTTTAAGTGTTTATAACAGACTTGTATTACTGTTTATAACAGACATGTATTTTTATTAAATTTAGTTATTTTGAGGGCACTGATTTTTTTTCCATTCTTTTTTTTTATTTCCCATGAAAAAATTGCTACATGAAAGCAGTGCTTCAGTGAAAATTCATCTACATCCTTAAATTGTTAACTAAATTGTATCAATATTTTTTTAACCTAATTAAAATTCATATGATTTCTACCTTATCTCATGGTTTCCACAGAAAAAAAATTAACAAAATAGTTGCTTTTAGTAGTCTAAAGCATGAAAATCGTTCCTTCAATAAGAACAAAATTTTTTCTTCAATAATATGACTAAAATTTTATTAAATGACTTAATTTTTATGCACTATGATCCCTTTAGTCAATTTATGTGGCAAATATGATAAATTTATATAAACGTTAGTGTTCTAGAACTAAATTTTTATATAAAGAAAAATCAGTATATTTGCAGAAAATTAAAAACTTCCAACTTCTAAAATTCATTCAAAAAAAAAAATACTTTTATATTAATAAAAACATAATTTTTTTCTAAAAATTTTTCCTTTTATTTAATTTCAATTTATGCTAAAAAAACATAGTTAGAAGTACAGAAAAGTCTCCAAATAGTCCCCTTTTCGTGAAAATAGATGTCTTTTAGCCTTTTCAGGTAAAAAGTTGCCATAGTCCATAGGCCAAAAATAGTTGCAAATAGTCGCCTGTGGCAACCCTTCTATCTAGGTTCCCTATGTTTCTCCTATTATTATTTTTTTAAGGATATAAAATGTAATAAAAGAAAATTGTGTTTCAGTGTTAAAATCGCTACATTGAGCAAAAAACAAATTAGTTAATTATTTTTTAACTATTTTATTATAAAATATGGAACATTAGATGTGTCTACTCTACCAATTCACTACTACTATANTTAGATATTTGCTTAGCTTAACACAGCGGTAAATAAAAAAAAAAAAAAATCCCTATTACACAACACTTTAGATGCCCCTCTACCATTGAATAAAATTATTAATTTTTCTCAGTTTAAAATGGTATTAGAAGAAAGTTCATAAGCACCTTATACTAACATATTTCATGGGTTGATCATAAATTGACAGTTTCTAAACATTAAACTTGTCATTAGAGTCTAAAACATAAAGAAATGCTTGTCACAATCTTATCTCCAAAAAAGAATTAATTTATTATTTTAATTTAATGGGAGAAAAGATATATATATTAACAAATCCCCATTTTACCCAATGGGCACACTTTCCAACACCTGATGTTACAATTAATGATGTGAACAATGCATTTGGGAAGATTTTTGTATCGTTATCAACAGCAGAATATTCGCCAAGTCTTGGCAACTTTAGAGAAGAAACTGAATAAAAAACATCACAAAAGGGAACCGATTCAAAGGGTAAAACTCGCAGCCATCCTCAGGCAAACCTCCACTTTTTTCTTTATTCAAAAAAAAAAATATTTAAAATTATTAGTTTAAAATCCAATTGTAGTTGGCAGGACAGATCATGATATGGAAATGGCCCCATGAAATAATACTGATATATATATGAAATGCTGGCATTATATATAATGCCTGACGTTTTTAGGCAAAGTATGAAATATGAGAAGTATTACATACTTTGTCTATGCATTATATATAATGGCGGATGCTATTTAGGCAAAGTATAAAATAAACGTCCTGATGAGGTTATTGTGTAAATGATGTGCATGTTACTGTGAACGACCGAAATCGATGGTTGTTGACTTTCACCGGTGAATGTTGACAATCACATAGTCGCTTGGTGAACGTCCGAAATATTTATTACATCCGATTTGATATTAATTTATTCATGGATATAATTACTATAATTACATTTATTCGATATTTTAATACTTACTGACAATAGATTAGAAGAAACATCAGTGTTTGGAGTATCTTGCAAATCTATACTGGGCAATGGCACTTGACCTTAAAAAAACATCAGTGCAGGATATACCGGACAATGGCACTTGACCTTAAAAAAACATAAGTGTAGGGTATACCGGACAATGGCACATGACCTTAAAAAAACATCAGTGTAGGATATATCAGGCAAATGTATACTGTACAGTGACACTGAACTAGACCTTGTATGGCTAGACCTTTGGTAAATGTCTGAAATATATACTAGGTCTAGTTAAGTGCTATTGCCCGGTATACATTACACTGATGTTTTTTTAAGGTCAAGTGCTATTGCCCGGTATACCCTACACCAATATTTTTTTAAGGTCAAGTGCCCTTGCCTGGTATATCCTACACTGATGTTTTTTTAAGGTCGAGTGCCATTGCCCAGTATACATTTGCCCAATACTCCAAACACTGATGTTTCTTCTAATCTATCGTCAGTAAGTATTAAAATATTAAATAAATGTAATTATATCCATGAATAAATTCATATCAAATCGGATGTAATAAATATTTGGGACATTCACCAAAGCGACTATGTGATTGTCAACCACCAATTTCGGTCATTCACAGTACATAATTTACATAATAACCTCATCAGGACGTTTATTTCATACTTTGCCTAAATAGCCCAGGATTTCAAACTTTGCCGGTAACAAATATATTGGTGAAGTTGATATAAGATGATATATGGTGAATAAGTTGGTGAAGAGTTCCGAATCAGGCGAAAAATTTATGAGGAAAATAAAAATACTGTAAATTGGGATCGCATCAGTAACCGTTACTTACCGTATAAGTTCAAATTCTGAAGGGGGGAAAAAAAGACAATCCTCAAAATAAGCTCCAGTGCTATTTTTTGAGAAGATATCGCCGGTCTTATATTTCAAAAAAAAAAACAGAGGAAATAGTGAAAAATATGTAGAGAAATTTAATAAATTAAGAGATAGAAATTAACTTACTGAAATATGAATCACTCTAATGGGTAAATTTTAATTCAAAATACATTAATTAAATGAAGATAGATTCATTTTAAAACAAGAAATAGTAAAGGTATGTTTCTTTTTATTTGAGAAAACTTTTTTACTTACTATTTTTAGTATAATTTCATGCGTTATAAGCTGCCTGTTTCTGTATACTAAAAGTACAATAAATGTCAAAAAATTGAATTAATAATTTAATTCTGTGGTCTTTGGTTGAACAAAAATAAGCAGCGGATATTATTAAAACAAAATTCTATTGTTTAAAATCAAGTATTTTGTCAAACAGTTGGTAATTCTCATATTAAGCACGTCTCATTTAATTCTCATCTTTAAAAAGCACGATTAGGCAAGGTTATTTGGAACATTATTAAATATCCATGGCTAGTTTAAAAAACAAATCAACTTTTGTTGGTGATGCAGAGTTTTGTTTTGAATGTGGAACCATTCTTCCACTACCCGGAAGAGAACCTTTCATTGTTTGTGTTGGATGTGGTTTTAAAAATGACATAAATAGTGAGTACAAGAGATAAAATCATCGTTGTGTTTCGTAAGACAGATATTTATCACAGATGTCAGAACTAAATATGTATAATCATTCAATAATAGGGTACCTGCTTCAAAATAATCGCCAAGTTTTCGAAACTTCTGGACAATGACCTACGAGTAACGAGAAAAACATCACTAAAGGATGACCAACATGAAATGCATAGGGGGATATTCCTGTATCGTGATCTGTCACGCCAAGGTGCCAAATAGATTTTGAACATGCAAATTAAAAAGAAAAAAAATACATGTAGATGTTTGTCCGAGGGGTGGTTACGATTATACCTTTCGAGTTGGTCTCCTTCTGTGTAATTTTTTTTTTATAGTTTTCAGCAGGCCGCTGCCTGGAAGTTGGCGATTATTCTGCCACAGATCATGATACGGAAATATCCCATGCATAACCCGCGCTGCACCTCTACATATATCACATTTTTATTCCGAGTTCCAAAATTCAATTGACACTTTGGCTATCATAGGGGGCGCGAAAAGTATACGCGCATGCAGAATGAATTTTATTTTGTATAAATTATTTTGTATAAATTTATTTAGAAAAAGTACATTTTTGTATCTGATTTCGTAACTTAAAATATCATCTGCACTAAATAATTAGCATATTTGCGGTCACTCCCTTGAACCACTAAGATTGAGTTCTAGAAGAAAATTGTTTTAAAAAAAGGAAAAACTGTTGTTGCCGACTGTTGCAACACAATGTGTAGGTTGCATTGACGCAATGCTGCCCAAAATGCTCAAATCTTACTAACAAGTCTACACTAACAAAGAGGTGAATTTACACCTTGACAGTGATAGAAGAGCATTGTTGAATGGTTTAGAAAAATTCTACCTGGAAAATGCAGATCTCAACTGTCAAAAAAAAAAATTGCTTTTCAACTGCTCACTTTCCATCTGTATTAAAACTTTTACAGAATATACAGGGTGTTTATAAAGTCCCGGACCCATTTTGATGTTTAATAACTCATAAAATAATAAAAATAGATTAAAATTAATAACATAAATGGTTAGATAAACTCAAAAAGTTTCATGACCCTTGTCAATGAACTTCCACGTGTGCCCCCTTCGTCGCACGGAGAATATCAAGTGGATAGTCAATTTCACGCCAGGTAGCGGCAAGCACGTCAGCATCCACAGAGGCTATTGCGGTTGTAATTCTGGCTTTTAGATTATCAATGTTCGACACGATCCTCCTGTAAACATTGTCCTTTATAAATCCCCAAAGTAAAAAGTCCAGCGGGGTTATATCAGGTGATCTGGGTGGCCAAGGAATTGGACCTCCTCGCCCAATTCATCTTCCTAGAAAATGGTCATTTAATGAACTGCGAACGATGATACCCCAATGTGGTGGTGCACCATCTTGTTGCAAAAAGACATGTGGTTGAAGCTCTTCTAGTTGTGGAAATACGAAGTTTTCCAACATGTCTAAGTATACGACTGATAAGACCGTCTTTTCTGTAGGCGAGGAGGTCCAATTTCTTGGCCACCCAGATCACCTGATGTAACCAGGGGTGGTGGTTTTCCGGGGCTACCCCGGATTTCCGGGTTTGTAAAGAAAATATTCCGGGTCTCTCAAGAATTACTTTTTGGAATTTTATTGCTTTACGTTCACACATTTTTGTTTTCTTTCTTATCTTTTGCCGGGCGAGAGTTGAAGAACGAGAATGAGTTGGATTGGAATGTTGGAGGGAGCATTTCCTGTCCTGCTGGCTGAGTGTGGTTCTCTGCTCTTGAGGGGGATAAAGATGATACCTCCTATTCACTCCTCCCCCCTCCCCCTAATGATTTCTCGTATTTCTACTCACAGTTGAAACCGAAAGCGGGATTTTTATTGCTCTTTTGGTTAATATACTCAACTCCTTCACCTCAAGTGGCATTACAGGGAAAGGTAGGAAATGTAATACTACGCTTCCGAAAAGTAGTTCTTCGTTATTTTTGAATGAATTAGTTGGCAATGAATTAGTTTTCAAGGTCTAGGAATTTGCGCGTTGGCTATGCTTTTGAACGGTCAGCCAGTTCTTGGAGTCTTATCATCATTGCTATAGTGTCCTTACTCTTGTGCGTTATTATTTCGCTCTCTCATTTCTTTTATTTATTTTGCTTTTAACTGTTATTTTTTTTTTTTTTGTTAATTGCTAGCTTGTTTTTGATCGTTATTGGTTGTTAGCCTGTTTCTTTTATTTTATTTTTTTCTGGATATTTTTTTTTGCATTTTCTTGTTAGCTTGCGTTTTTATGTGCTCATTAATGATTGCTAGTTTGTTTTTTCTCAGTTATCCTTTGTTAGTTTATTTTATAACTGTAATTTGTATAGTTTCTTTTAATTGCTAACTTTTTTTCTCTTAGTTATTTTAACCTTAGTTTTTTCCTTTGCAAGTTTCGGCTCGTGTTATGTGAGATTCTTTTTTTAAAAATTAATATTGAAATTAATTTTTTTAAAGTATTTTGTAAAAAATGAAATGAATGTAGAAAAACCGACGATTTACGTAGTAAGTTTCAATGATCATTTGTCATTTTCGTCATGTTTCGCGTGAAGAGTCTTCTTCATATGTTCTTAATTTAATTTATTTTGCTTAACGACATCCTGCCTGAGATCCGTAGTAGAGTCANGGATATTTTTTTTGCATTTTCTTGTTAGCTTGCGTTTTTATGTGCTCATTAATGATTGCTAGTTTGTTTTTTCTCAGTTATCCTTTGTTAGTTTGTTTTATAACTGTAATTTGTATAGTTTCTTTTAATTGCTAACTTTTTTTCTCTTAGTTATTTTAACCTTAGTTTTTTCCTTTGCAAGTTTCGGCTCGTGTTATGTGAGATTCCTTTTTTTTAAAATTAATATTGAAATTAATTTTTTTTTAAGTATTTTGTAAAAAATGAAATGAATATAGAAAAACCGACGATTTACGTAGTAAGTTTCAATGATCATTTGTCATTTTCGTCACGTTTCGCGTGAAGAGGCTTCTTCATATGTTCTTAATTTAATTTATTTTGCTTAACGACATCCTGCCTGAGATCCGTAGTAGAGTCAAAGCAGCTAATCGATGTTTTTTCGGTCTTAAAAAGTATCTGAAATCTAACTTCATCAGCAGAAAAACAAAGATTCTGATATACAAAAGTTTGATAAGACCCATTCTTACTTACTCTGCTGAGACTTGGACAATGACAGAAAAAGTAAAGCACACTATTTCTGTGTTTGAAAGAAAAATTTTAAGAAGCATATTTGGTGGCCTTAAATGTAACAATATCTGGAGAAGAAGAACTAACTCCGAACTTTACATACTATTTAAAGAACCTGATGTAGTCAAATATATTGCAATTCAGAGAATCAAATGGGCGGGACACCTATCAAGAATAGATAATAACCGCGTTACAAAAAAGATCTTCTGTGCCAGACCATTAGGCACTCGAAAAAGAGGAAGACCTAGACTTAGATAGCTTGACTGCCTCGAAAGTGATTTAAATATTCTAAAAGTCACAAATTGGATGTCTCTGGCCAAGGTAGAAGAGCTTGGAGTTCAACTCTGCGGAAGGCAAGGGCCTATCCTGGGCTGTCAGGCCAATGAAGAAGAAGAATTTTCTTAAAATAAAGCCATTAAAGCCACTTTCTCGACCTGATCATCATTGGCTTTATGTGTTAGTAGTGACAGAGGGCCTGAAATATTTATGGGATGCATTGTTGGTTTTTTATTTTTCATGGATAGATGTGGATGTGCTATATGAAGATCTGTTAACTGAAGTATATCAACGGCGAGAACTACTTTCTCATGAAATAAAATCTATCAAAGAAATCCAAAGTGGCTTGAAACAAAAAACTTTAACCACTGAAGGCAAAGATAGAAAGAGAAGAATAGTTAATTAGATCAAAGATTATTTGAACAGCAGAAAAAAACTCTGTTTCTCATAAAAGTTTATGAGTCAGTTCTACCACATTTTAACTGTTATGTGAAACTTTTCCAGAGAAAAGAATGTCAATTACACGAACTACATGTATAGATGTTCAACCTAACTAAAAAATTTACCTAACAACCTAACTAACTTTTTTCCTAAAGCATGAATTAATTTCGAAGATTGATTCATATTCTGAAATTCTCAAGATTGATGTCACCAACAAAAAAGAAACTATCTTCCTGATAGACTGATATTTACGGGCACACAAGAAGCACATTATTCGGACATGAAAGAAATGAAGGAGGTTTTAAAAACTGCCTATTCTCATTGTGCATTGTATATGTTAAAAAAATTGCCTTTGAACAATTCTCTACTAATTAAATTATCAGCCTGAAATCCTGCCTTAAGAGGAGAAACGACAACCTTTACTACGTTGACGAATTTGGCTGAACTTTTACCTAGTGTTATTGCCAAAGAGGAAGTTTCTATCTTAGATTCAGAGCTAAGAGACTATCAGACAGATAGCACTCTGTCCTGTTGGCAGAGTGATGATTTAATCTCTTTCTGGATTTATGTTATGAAGGTAAAAAATGGAAATAAGCTTAAATATCCTGTACTTTCTAAAATGGTTAAGGCTGTCTTGTCCTGTTTTCATGGACCTTCTGTTGAAAGCGCCTTTAATTATATGGATGATATTGTAACTGAAAGCAGAACATCTCTAAACATTTGAAGCTTAGACTATTCAAACAGTAAAGTATTATTTGAACTCTCTGGGTCAAAGCACGTGTGATGTTTTTGGCAGTGAAGATCCGATGAATGAACCCATACAAGGAAATTTTGGACGAAATCTATTGAGTAGCTGGAGTAGTTATAATCAAATACTCAGTTCAGAGAGTGTTACCTCCAATTTATCGGAATTATCAACTGATCATTCAGAACCGCAGGAGTCTTGCTCTATCAGTAGTAGGGTACAAAATGTTCCGGGCATTGAGGGAAGTCAGATAAAAAGAAAAATGGAACAGGAGAATCAAAATAAAGTGAAACAAACAAAAATAGGATTTTTTTTAAGAAATGATGGTTAAGTGATGTGTTGTCAATAGTTGGATTTTTTTTATAACCATTTCATTATATTGAAGAACTGATACAAGTTGTATTAAAATTTATGTGCTGTAGAAAATAGGATATTTTTTTTATTTAAATACTTATATGGAAAAATAAAGATAAATTATGTGCAATTTAAACTGGATTTTTGTGTTAAATCATCTTATTTACTATGTGTTCTTACACATAATTAATAAATAGCTTTATGTGACTGAAATTTCAACACTTAAATAGTTTCGAATTCTTTGGATTAAATTAACGCCAGTCAATAATTTAGGTACATATTCAAATTTTTTTCTTTTTACACGTCATTGTTTTAAATCGTTCTAATTTTAAATAGAAGGTACATTTTCTGACTTTCAGGGTTTCTTTGCTTTTTATCTTACATTTTGACTTCTTTCTTTGGGGATTTATAAAGGACAATGTTTACAGGAGGATAGTGTTGAACATTGATGACCTAAAAGCCAGAATTGCAACCGCAATAGACTCTGTGGATGCTGACATGCTTGCCGCCACCTGGCGTGAAGTTGACTATCGACTTGATATTCTCCGTGCGACGAAGGGGACACACGTGGAAGTTCATTGACAAGGGTCATGAAACTTTTTAAGTCTATCTAACCATTTATGTTATTAATTTTAATCTATCTTTATTATTTTATGAGTTATTAAACATAAAAATAGGTCCGGGACCCATAATATAATTTTTAAGAAATAATATTTTTATAAGGAAATGATTAATTATATAGAAAACATTCAACCTGGCTCGCCAGATGATCACCCGCTATTTGTAAAAAGCAAATTATTTTGGTGGAATTATCTTGGTGTAAACAGGTTCTATTATTCTGAATCAAAAGTTTTCAATTTGCTTAAAAAATTTCTAACCCTGTGGCAGAATTTTTTCAAGTTTTCTGCGACATACCTCTCTAATACTAATATCTTTCTGCAAGATACTTATAAAAATAACAATTGTATACATGTTACTAATTTAAAGTAACAGAAGCAGGGCTGATTGTGCTCCGGAAAAAATCCTGATTTCCGGATTTTTCGCTAACTGTGATCCGGAAGTTTCCGGAGATCGAAAGTCCAGACGTTTCAAAAAATCATTATTCACTTAAGTTTCCGGAAATCAAATTTTTAAAGGTGGAACTTAAAAACACAGTTTATTTAATTTGTTTGTAAGGGAGAGCCACAGAGATACTTTATAAGCTTATATTCATGATTAATATTCATTTTTTATCACTAAATAGTTGTTATAATCATTAACTCAAAAAAAAGGCATATTTGTAAATTTTAATTACTTCTCCAGGTTATCATAGGTATGTGTAAATGGTATAAGTATGAGTAAAATTTTAAATATATTTTTAGTAAACTAAGAAATATTGAGAAAAAGGAAAAAAAAAAACCTTGTTTAAATATTTTTCTAATTTTTCAATTTAAACTGTTTCTTTTTTGTTTTTTTTTTTCAAATTCAGGAAATTTTCCGGAATTTTGACTTGAACTCACAATCACCCCTGCAGAAGCATCAACTTCAACAAAAAAAATTATTGGATCAAATAAATTAATTTTTTTTAAATTGAATATGTAATATATTTTTACTCTAATATTTTGGGCCATATTCTCGCTTTTAGTTGGGGAATAACATACTAATTATTTACTTTTTTGCATTTTGTAATTCGTTATCTCAATAAAAAAAAATTAGAAATCCTTGGAATGGCTAAAATAAAGTGGGGTTCATCCCAAAGTGTCCTTGCTTCCATATTTACTTCTTACATTAAACCAGTATTAGACTATGGTTCAGAAATCCTTGTTACTGCCTCGGACAGTGTGATATCAAAACTCGATTTGGTTCAAAATAAAGCACTAAGACTCATCACTGGTTCTGCGATTTCAACTCCTATTCCTGCCATGCAGCTACAGGCAGAAATTTATAATTTATCTGACAGACGAACTTATGCTGCCCTCTCTCTTGGTGAAAGATTGTTGAGAAAGGATCATTTTTGGCCGTATTACATTCTTCCTCAAACTAGACTTAAATCTTTAAAAAAAATAATAAATTGAGTACCGGAGACTTGCAGAGATCTTTGAGGTCTCCAACTCCAAACTTTGCATCTATAGGCCGTCTGTTTTTACAGGCCTTCTGAGATATGCCACTGCTAGATTTGACTTGGTACAGCCTGTCCGGGAATCGGACTTCCACCATACTGAGATGTATCCTATTACTCTGGCCACTATGCACGAGAGATACCCTTGTCAGGAATGGCTGCAGGTTTTTACTGATGGATCCGCCACTCTCTCAACTGGTAGAGCTGGAGCCGGTGCTTACTCCAAATATTTCAGCCTTAGAGAACCTCTTGACACTTGGGCAGATAATTTTGATGAAGAAATGTTTGCAATCCTTATGGCTATTATAGCTATTGGTGAACCATCTGAACAAATCATTGTTATCTTTGTCGATTCTCAGGCTGCAATCCAGACTATTCCTGAATATAATTTATACCCCTCTGACATTGAATCTGAGTGTAAACAATGCATCGACTCTCTTCTTTGTTCCGGAAGAGAGGTAGTCCTCCAGTGGATCCCTGGCCATTGTTGCATCGACGGAAATAAATGGGCTGGCATGTTAGCTAGAGAGGCATTGCATCCACTTTCTCATCCAGTTCCTCTTAGAAATACAAGGTGGCTTCTTAAGAGCAAATTCAGACACAGCAATATCTGCTCTTAGGAACTTAGCTGATGGAAAATACTGGGCTAGCCTTCTTGGTGGCCAGCAGCGGTTTCATCTTTCCCTCCTTCCCAGGGCCAAGAGAGTTGCTTGTCTTAGAATAATTACTGGACATGACTAGTTGCAGGCCCGTCTACAGTAGAGCGCCGATTATCCGAACGTCCAATTATCCGAACCATGCCCAAGTTCGCTTTTTTTTAAAGTTTAGCATGCTTTTTGACTTATCGACAATTTTTCTAAATTTAGTAGAATAAATAATTTCCACTACATCTGAAGACCATATTTGATTTACAACTTTTTTTAGCAGCTTTCTTATAGTAGCCAATACATACGTGTATTGTTATACAGTTAAACCTACATACTCTTTTAGCCCTCTTCAACTGAAAATTATCTTCCAAGAATGCGAGCTTCAATTTGACAGTCTACAATGGTTTGAAATGAGGAAGGAGTTTATGAATAGATATGTGCTGAAGTTCTACAATTGCGAGATGGGTACTTGTCACTTATGGTTAATGATTAGTGATTACAGTGCTTGGAATCTTAAATCTTGAAATAAAATTCTTAAAAAAAAAATAAACGAAACTGAAGTTTCTGAACAAGTAGATCTTCCCGATTAAAAGATGCCAAGTTATACAGCAGAAGAAATAGAACACTGGTGTCGAGACACTGAAAACAACCCAGAATTTCAAATTTTAAATGATGATGAAATTGTTGCTGAAATTTTGAATGAAAATCGGAATTCCACAGACGAAGAGGAAGAAGTAGGTGATCAAATTCAAGATAGTGGACCTTCTCATTTAGAAGCAAGCAATTCATTAGATATTGCAATGACTTGGCTAAAATGTCAAAATGATGTTGATCTAGTTCAGTTGATTTATCTAAAAAGAATAAGAGATATGGCTGCTCGAAAAAGACCATCTTTATTGAAACAAAAGCCTTTGCTGGATTTCTTTTGCAATGAAAAATGTGATAAAATCTGTAATTGATAAAAAAAAATTTAAAAAGCTGAAATATGATATAAATAATTTAAAATGAAAAAAAAAAGTTTTAAAAAAATTAATTAAAAATATTTACAAAATGAAAAAAAAAAAACTTTTAAGCATGCCAGAGCTATTTCGGATAGTACTGCCAGTCCTAAGAATAAAAAAAGTTTGAAGGGAAGTTAGTGCATAAATAATAATCATTTAAACTAGATTTTCAACATCTTTCTAATTATCCGAACCACGTTCGGTCCCGAGCAGTTCGGATAATCGGCGCTCTACTGTATTTAAAATTAACTTGGTCAATTCACCTCTTTGTGTGCTCTGTAACACTTCGCCTATGACTGGCGAGCGTCTATTTAATTGGACCTCTCTTCTTGACATTCGCTCCTGTGACGACTTTCGTTCCCTCTCGCCTTCTGGAGCTACTTCACTATTGTATTGGACTGCAAGACGCCTTAAGTCTGAGAAAACGATGGTGGGCGTAATTTTTTAAAAAAATAATTATAAATTAGCACATTTGTAATCAATTTCTTAAACCATTAAAATTGGCTTGAAAATTGAATCATGAGAACAAAAATGATTTAGATGTTATATTTGTTTAGAGTCATTTGATAAGATGAATTTTTGCAATGATATACTTATCTACCAAGTACAAACTATTAAAAGTGAGAACTAATGGCATCTGATTAAAGATGCAGGTCATCAAAACTGGTGGTTAATCAACTGGTTGCATTTATTTTGGGAAATTTTTCTGTTTTTATAAATTTCTTTTTCTGATAAATTTTTTCTCTTATTTATTTGTATTTTTTATTTCAGTTTTCAATGGCATTACCGTTGAATATGAAACAAAATATAATAGTAAAAATAGCTTCAAAAGGAGAAAAGAAAATGAAAAGAATGCCGATTCAGCTACAGGCCCCATGGTACATTTTTATGTAGTTCAATTTCATTATCTCTTTCGTTTGTAGATTGTGCTTTAGACAGTGCTCTGTATATATTGATATGCTTTTAGGAAAATTTAAAATTAGCATAAAAAAAACTCAGGGAACACCAGGGAAAAGAAATTTTTTTGTTAATTTAGAAAAAAAAGAAGAGGTCTTAAACCTGGAAAAATTAAAATTTCAGGACCTCTTAAAATATTTTTTTTTAAAAAAAAGTCATAATTTATTAATTTATACCAAAAATTGTTAATTGTTTTCAGTGTATATATATATTTTTTAACAATATCATAGATTTTTAGTTTGTCTTTGTAAATTTAGTTTTTTATATTTTTTTGTAACTTTTATATTTTTTGTTTTCAAATAAATATTTTGTGTTGATTTGTTTAGGTTCAGGATAGAGTATGTTCTAAATGTGGCAATCAGGGTATGAGTTATGCCACACTCCAGACTCGTTCTGCAGATGAAGGGCAGACAGTATTCTATTCTTGTCCTAACTGTCAGTAAGTAAATCATGATATACTACTAAAAATTATACTAACTTCTTTATATTAATTAACTGTGAATTATTGAAAGAGTATTTTTGTTACTGCTTAATTTTTATAACCAAAATTATGGTTTACTTTTATACATATAAATTGTTTTAACTATGCTTTTCTATTTTATAGCTTGTAATAAATTTCTTTGCGAACTCATTCTTGTTTTTACAATGACTTTTTTCACACACTTGTTGTTTTATTTACGTCTTATTGTATTTTAATCTTTTTGTGACACTGTGCTTACTGAATAATGTTGTTTCAAACGTTAGATTTCCAGTTGGCAATTTTCATTATGATTAGATCTTTTGTTGCATCATCTAACCATCCCTTTTTTTTTCTCCTTTTGAGTTCATTGGTTTCTAATATAATATTTTTCTCAGTCCCATATTTTCATTCATTATTACTGTATGGATTTTATGAATCATTTAATGTTTTTTGTTTATTTTGTTGATCAAGTTGTCCTTGGTTTTAAATTCTCTACTGCAAATTAATTATTAGTATTGACCTAAAAAATTTTCTTCAACTTTTTGGATATAGCGTAGCTATACTCATACACAGGGGCGTACGCAAGGGGGGGGGGGTTTAGAGGTTTAAACCCCCCCCCCTTGAGCTCAGACAAAGTGAATTTAAAAAATAATACAGAAAAAAATAAAAAATTTTGTTGAAATTATGCGGGTTATTTTTTTTTAAGACTATATATTTTTATTTGCCTTATGCCTACTTTTTTTTTCTCACGGTATTTCTCAGAATACTGATAAAACATTTACTATAATAGGGTTGTATTTTTGAAACCAAATTCACGTGATACTGTTACGGGCGAGAACGATCACTGGTTCCTTTCTGACGTGCCAGTCGCGATAGTTTTCAAGACTGGCTGGCATTCGTGAGGTCTGGAATCCTAGACGTTCTGTCGTCTTTGAGACAATTCGAGAATTTTGTAGATGCGGTTAAAAAAAATTATATGAAAGGGGGTTACATTTATTTTCGATTTTAGTCAGACTAAGAGTTATCTCTGCCGCTTGTCCTTCGGAGCTTGTTTCTAAATCTGTTTTGTTTTGATTGATTGAATGTAGGGTTTAGTGGCACAAGGTCCAAATGAGGACATGCTGCGCCAAACAATATGGTGAAACAGTTCAAACGTATGAGTGAATGCGGAATGTTAATTGCAGCACAATTAAAACTGATAAAACAGTACAAAGTGAATAAAACAAGATAAAAGTATGAATACAATATGAAACGCGCGAAATACTAAGTAAAATGAGCAAAGGTGATAAGAGTGTATAAAACAGTAGATGTGTTAAAACTTTTATATGCAGTTAAAAATACCAACGGCACGTAAAAATGCAAAAATGTTCGGATGGTGAATCCCATCCAACAAATCTTGCATGCATAAAATAGAACTTCCAAAAAACTTTAAACGATGTTGATTAAAACATGAACACGTTATTAAAATATGATGAATTGTGAGAGGA